GAAGTACTTGGAGCTAATGAAAGACTTGACATAAAACCAAGCACAGTAGCATTCTAGGATTTATACCTTAGTGGAATAAAACTTTGTTGTTGTAAGTAAACATGGATCCAACTTTTCTTTCTCAATATAGTTAAAGGTAATTCTATATAATCCCAAATATGGGTAATTATCGAAAGATCTAGATTACATTTATCAGATAAGCCAAGTGTTTTTCATACTAGACTGACTGTTTTTTCAAACTAGAGTTTGTGCCCTTTCAAATTATAGAACTGAAATTATGTGACAGCGTACGTCGTCAAGAAAAATATGAAATTGAAATTGAGCATAGGCATGTTTGTTAAAGTTAATTCAATGTAATGTTTCAAAATTTCCACCAATTTCTGAGTGGAAGTGCTAGTCTAGAACCTTATCCAGATCTTCTTAATTGGTCAGCGTTGTTTCTCATTCTTCAAGTTAATGATCGGGATGAATTCTGTGTGTTTTTGGAGTGATATGACCTATTCACAAGTGACTTGTAAAGAGAAAGTCACAAAGTATATTTCAACTCAAACGTCTTTAAATTAGAGTGATTTCGAAAGGTTCATAACCTACTACTGGTCGGACCAGTGAATGTGTGATGGATATATATATTGTTTTCTTAATGTGTGTGTAGATAAAACGGGATTCGTGATTGATTAAATAAATTACGTTGAGTGGCATAAGAAGATTCCGCATCGCTTGGACAAGGTGGGGCGAAATTGGTTCAGTCAGAAAACATTATGGATGTTACAGATTCCGCTCAGGTTGATGCATACGCTCAAGAGAGATGAAAGATCTTTGTGCGCGAATCATCATGTTGGATAATATGAATTTGGAATACGGAAAGTAGCCTAATTTATTTATAAGTTCATGTAAGATCAATCTTTTCATTAATATGGGATTCTTCCTTAACATGTCATTTTTTGTGTGACGAATTTTCAAGTATAGCACGTAGACAACAAGCAATGTGATGTGGAACACGTGTGGCCATTAGGCTTCCCACGTGCGACAACCTGCTTTGATACCATAAAGAAAATTGAGGTTTCATCATAAAATTAATTAGCAATCTGGAAGTTGCACAACTTACTTATAAACCCATCCAATGTCTCTCCTTTCATTAATGTGGAGTTCATTCTTAACACACTGTGAAATACGTGACGGCTAGACAAATTAACTACTCTATAGAGATACTTTATATAGGAATAAAGTCATAAAAATTTCCAATTCCATCTTGAGCCAACTATATGTAGGAATAAACTCCACCTTGTACTTACTAAGTTATAATTTTTCTAGATCCCGTATTAAGAAAACTCGCCTCCATATAATGATAACTGATAATTGTCAATAAGCATATAATATCCAATGTCACAAACGTAAGTTTAAGATGATCTAAAATATTTCTCTATAATTAATTGAGACAATATTTGATATTTTAGAGTTAATACAATACATACCTTTGAGCCTACGGGTACTTAATATTTCTAGCTTCTCAAGCTTGTTTATAGAGAAAAATTAAAGAGTGCACTACATACATACATGCACTAGATTTTAAAAACTGAATGTCTTTCTTTTTTCAATCTTATATCTTAAAAATTGACGTGTTCTACTAGTAGTTCTTTGTATCTATACAATTTTCATTAAGGATTACTAAGTCAAAAAAATAATATTTTTTAGCTAGATCTCTATTAAAGTATTAAGTAACAATCTCCTTAAAGTTATAATTAGTTTGATCCCAACATTATGATTATATAGAGGTTTTACTGTATCTCGTATGGGAGCTTGAGATGTAAAATCATGGCATTTGAGTTATATCAGAAGAATCCCTTGCACACTCTAATCCAACCTATTGAGATTAAAAAAAAAAAAAAAAAAGATATGAAGAAGATTGGTCACAAACTTAGTGAAGAATAAAACCTGGCGGTTATTAGGCCTTTGGCAACTATACCAGAGGTTGGAGGCAGATGACACTCCATGAAAAATATTAAGACTTTTGACGATGTATGAAATCTGAGAAAAAGGCTTATGATAAGTTTGTGAGAGCTCAGAGTGGCAGTCTTGACGTGGTTAAATGAAAAAAAGTGGGACTAAACGACTCTTTGAAGCACGACTCGAGTATGGGATGGACCAGAGCCACTCAAATGAATCAATTGAGGCTAATTTGTTTATTGGGTCATTGTTGGCATTTGGCCTTTGTAAATAGGGTTTGAACCCCAGCTTCTTTTTCTTTTGCCCTTGTTTTTGTCAAATTGAACCCCATGTTTTATTAATGAAATGCTTCTTAACGGGAAAAGTAACCTATCATTTATATAGAATATACTATAAGGTTGATTTAAAGGGATCTTTTAGTTTAAATACCAATTCCTAAAAAAATAAAAAATAAAAAATAAATAAGCTAAAATATTATGTTTTTAGTTTAGATACAAATAAAAAAGTCAACGAAAACAATTCTACAAATACTACTATAATTCAACATATTACATAATTGCGACTGAATTCTGCCACGTTTTTCAACCGGCTAACTTTTCCTGCGATTGGTTGATCAAATTTTCTAACGACCGGATGATCAATTTTTTTGGTCTCAATGGTACTGTCCAACATTGACCTTAAAAATCCATGTGAAGTAATGAATTTTCTGATAAGTTCTCTAATTAAGTTTATTGTGCATATATATATATATATATATATAACAATACTCACACAACAAAACATTCGTGAAAATGAAAAAGAGTCACATATGACGGTGACCGGCAACTATTTCAGGCACTGGCACCGGTTGTATGTGGTCATGTGCAGTGGGGATAAAAAGATAAATGTCCCTATGCTTATAAATGTATTTGCTCATAATTTGTGGCTTAATCCAAACAGAATGAGAAGGTATTGGTAGTTTTCTTTAAAGTTGGTATTTTTTTCTCAAAATCTTTATTAAAATTGGTATTTAATCTAAATATTATTCATCCCTGCAAAGATTTGAAGAACAAAGAAACAAAACAAAAGGATCAAATGATTCATTGCGTGAAGAATTTCTTTTCACTGTAATTGAGAAATTTTAGATTTGAATTTCAAGAATAGCAAGTTTCCAATCATTTTATTTCTTCACTCCTTTAACTTAAAGATATTGTTGTATAACTATAATATATGTGTGTAAATTTATATACACAATTTGATACTTTCAACATTTCTATCTCATACTGTAGCGAGGCTTGTAAGCAACTAACCATGTATTCTAATTGCAGGTGGTGGAATGGTAACCCTTCGAAGCAGTTACTGTTCTGGCACATGATGCTATCACATCACCAATCCGTCGCCCAAATAGTAGTCAGCTTCCCTTCACTCACAAGCAAAGAAAATTACCTTATGATCCATATATAGCTTTATCAAATCCATTCATTTTTCTTGGCCACATGCAAATCATGAAATGCACAAAATGCAGGCGCCGGCCGGTCTCTTGTCACGCGCAGAGCATCGAAGAAGGAGTAATCATGCATCATAATGTTGTCCTCCACATCTTATTTCTCATACTATGTATATATGATCCTTACAATATAATTCTTTACTTTGTAATTATAAATGTAGGGACCAATCTGCAAAAGAGAGGCATCAGTAGGGGACCAAATTAGATTATTGTGTTGTAATTTGTATCCCACATCCATAAGACCCGCCTTATATCCTGCTAATAAGGTTGTTAATTAAATATTATCTCATCATTAAGGGAGCTCATAATTCACATGTACACCCCTATATATATACAGAGACATATATGTGGGTGCATATATTGTTCTAATCCGGTTGAATGGCCAAGAAAATGTGTTCCGGTATCACAATTTTGCTTGTTATTTTTGCCCTCCTATGTGATGTTATGGCTTCCGATCCTGACCCGATTCAAGACTACTGCATACCGAACCCGAAATTTGGTGCCATAAGAACAACTCTTCACACCATCCACCTATGCAAGAACTCGTCCGAGGCCACCACCGATGACTTCATCTTCTCTGGGATGAAGGTGGCCGGAAACTTCAGCGACATGGGTATCGCAGCCATCTCAGTGAACCCAACTGTCTTCCCGGGGATCAACACGCTCGGGATGTCATTCGTACGAGCTGACCTCAAAGTTGGTGGAATCAATCCACCACATTTCCACCCTAGAGCCACAGAGATATCCCATGTAGTGAAGGGGAGTGTTTATTCAGGGTTTGTTGATTCAACCAATAGGGTTTTTGCTAGGGTTATTGAGCAAGGGGAGGTCATGGTGTTCCCTAGGGGTCTAGTGCACTTCCAAATGAATGTTGGCAAGAAGCCTGCTACAATTTTTGGTAGCTTCAATAGCCAAAACCCAGGAAGTCAAAGGATCCCCTCTGCCATTTTCGGGTCAGGGATAAACGATGAGCTCTTGGAGAAGGCATTTGGATTGAGTCCTAAGCAGATTGGAACGATGAGAAGAAGATTTGATCCAAAAAGTGTGAGTTAGAAAGTGGGATTGAAGGGGCATTTGCTTAGTTGAGTTGCGTTCTAAGTTGGTTTGCCCTATAACTGTGGAGGAGCGTTGTTAGTTATTGTACCTTGTATCAATACGGTACTTAAATGTTATTGTTTCCTGTATCGATACGGTACTTAAATGAAATTTCTGGTGCAGTAAGTTTGTAGTTCAGTTAGCTAAGAGTTTTCGCCCCTTCACTTCAAGTCCTAGTTCGATTTCTGCCTCCCTGCTATCATTTGCATCAACAAAAGAAAAAAAGAGGTTTGTGATTTTCACACCCTTAACTACTTTTTCCACACCCCTCTCTATTTTTTAATACTTAATTGATATCCTACTATTTAATCTTCCATATATATCCTTCCTACTTTTTGATGGTAATTAATGAAAGATTAAATAGGGAGGGGGTATATATGGAAGATTAAATAGTAAGATACAAATTAAGTATTAAAAAATATGGAGGGGTGTAGGAAAAATAGTTAAGGGTGTGGTAAATGAAATTCAATCACGGTGAACGTGCAAAATTTTCTTTAATCTCGGTTCGAATAGCTCCTCATGAAAACGTACCAAGCAACAATCACACAATTATTTCTCAAATCCAACTTTCAAAATTCAATCCCTAAGAAGCAACTGCATTGTGATGCAACAATCTATAAACAGCGCTGGCCGGTACAAGATCTATCATACATACCAAACTGACCAACTGAAATTCAGTAACTCCGTATCGGAGAAATGCACAGAAAGTTCACCCTGAGGTAGCTCATTACGTAAGCGGAAAGGTTTACTATCCGTCGGTTAAAAGTGCCTTGACAATGGTCTCGCACATCCCATCAGCAAGTGCCAACAAATGTCCAGCACCTGGTATCTCATGATAGTGGATCCATGGAAGCTGTTCAGCAATGTAGCGTTGCAGTAAAACGGGTACCATGCGATCTTCATCTCCATGCCACACGTGGACAGAAGCTTCATTGTTAGGGAATGGGTTTTCCAGTTCCAGAGGACTGAATTCCCAGGTCCCAAATCCAACATTCATGTCACGGTAAATGGACTCAAATTCTCCTTGCTGCCGTACCTGTCCCTGAGGAATCCAAATTGGAGGAAAAAAAAAAAAAAAAAAACAGAATGTCATTAAGCACATATTGGTAGAAATCCAATTCTACCATAAGTGAAAAGAAAAACTATACAGATAAGGTAGAGATCCAATTCTAGGGAACGGGAAAACAAAGCTTCAAAGTTCTCTGATTGTTCCACGACGAAAAGAAAATAAAAAGTTATCATAAATCAGCTAGGTGCTAGATTGATGCCCTACAAGTAATATGTTCACACAGCTCTATTGAAACGATTCAACTATAGGTAACCGTAATGCAAAGCTTTAAAGTTCTCTCATCGCTACTCCCTGAAGGGAAAGAAAAAGTTAAATCTAGATTTCCCTAGGTAACAAACACCTAAAGTCATGTTTGTACAGTTCCACTGAAATGCTAGGACTAAACAACTCTTAAGAATAACTCGCAGGCTTGCAGAAATCTCAATTGCTCCAGTATAGGCTTTACAGTTCATTTGTGGGATCACGAAAGCTTTATTCTTTAGTATAAGCAGCACTCAATCAGTATCACCAGTATAATTAACCAAGTAACACCGCTGCCCGCATGCGAGAGGTCTCAAATTCAATAATGGGTGAGGAATTACCAATTAAAGACATGCTATTGAACTAACAGCCAAAAAAAGGGATGTATGTAGGTTTACTTCAAAATAGATCAAGGGTATTAACTGCATCCGCAGCTTAAGCAATTCAACTTTACTTAACTCAGCATAAAATCAAGGTGGAAAGAAAAAAATAAGAGAATGTACAGAAAATAATCTTCAAAACGTGACCACAAAAATTACAATAATGGTTTTAATAATCAAACTAGCCTAATCTTTTGTTGAAAAAGTAGACTAATTTTCAAGAACTAAACAGATAAATTTTAAAAACACTAGCAGGGATCTCTACCTACCACAGAAACCTTATGAATCAAACTAATTTTGAAATTTTGAAGCCTATTCAGTATATGTAGCATATCAATTTAGTTAACTACACTATGAATTGGTGTCATTAAATTTTAAAAAAAAAAAACAAAATCTAATTCTAAGGATTCCAAAATATGGAATACATACCGCATATGGTTCTCTTTTTGAAGCTTAGGCAGGATTTCTTTGTCTTGGTCAGAAAGACAATCTATACTTTGAGCCAGAACACTTGAACCAGGAAACCATTTTTGAGTGTTCCAGAAGTACGTAAGCCAAGGGGTGTAGTGAGACACACGAACTGCCCACTGGTCTGGCTGAAGCTGTTGGGAGTAAGCTTGACTAGATAGATTTGAAGGAATACCAGTCCACCAGTAGTTTACCACTGGAGCTACTAGTGCTGCTCCTGCAATCCTGTTACCATTCACACCTAGCATAAGTTAAAAGATTTCTCCTTCTAACACACAACATACATACAAAACATGTTCACTTCCATTCCCGTAAAGTACTATACCGGTGAGGGATATATTTGAGGCAGCTCCAAATCACCTGTCCACCCATGGAGAAACCAATTACATAAAATCTGTGTCCTAAACCCAATTGATCAGCCAGCTCCTCTATATCTGTAGCCATACTCTTCACCGTTCGCTCTGGATTAGGATCACTTTCTCCATAACCAGGTCTATCAAAAGACACAACGTAGATCCCCAAGTCTTTCACAGCTTCCTGGGTAAATTCACCAAATGTTAAAACGATATTACAGGAAACATTAGACATGCTAAACAAACCATAAGATAGATACCGGAGACAGGAAGCTGGGAATGACAGCATCATGCCTGCAACTATCAATACCATGGAGATAAACTATTTTATGCTGCGCATTATCTTTTGGGACTCCATGCTCTTGGTAAGCTAAATGCCTTCCATCCCTAAGTTTTATTCTTGGCCCTGTAACAGGAGGCCCATCAGGAGAGCCACATATCTTTGATGGAGGAGGTTGGATTGCCTGATATGCCCATGCCGAAAGTCCAATAACCAACTGCTACTAGTGCTGTCTTAAAAATCCCTGAAATTTTTTAGGGTTTCATTGAATCACAATACAAAGATTGGAAGAAAAAGCTCCAGAAACTTTCTAAAAAAATCTTTCAGCAAAAAGAAAGAAAGCACCAACTTATTCAAGTTCATACTTTGAGCATAAATTCTAATACCAAAGACATATATATTCTGCATCAGATGCATTTAGAGCAATCCTTATTGACAGTTTACAACAAATGAAAGAAAATATAAAAACTATCACAGAAAAGGTTCTACAGTTGTACTGAATGCTTAGAAATTCTTTGTGAGTCACAGACAGGCCCTATCGAAACAAAATAAAGAGTCCCAGTCCCTGATCATCGAAGCAACTTTCGAATCAAGCAGTGAGTTTGTATTTTGACATTCCACAAACCATATAGGTCATCACATTTGAGAGTATGATATATAACGGCGATATTAAACATGGATTAAAAAATGAACATGCAATCAGCACAATGCTTCAAAGACTTGTCAGCTTTCTGCTTATTACAAATATCTGATATCTAGTAGCAGTTATTTCAACCTCATCGTAGGGGTGGGCATCAGGTGGGTTGGTCGGGTTGGACTCCAAATTGTTGGCCAACCCAATAAGCTCGGATTGTCATTGTTGTAGCCCATCACCACACAAGAAAATAAGAAAATGGGCAAACCAACCCACCCAAACCATTATTAGGCGGGTTGGATAAAATCTCAATGATCACAAATGCTAACACAATTGTATTTTGAAGCATATAAGATATCCATTTGTTAAATGGTTATTATGCAAGTCAACACCACTCCTTTTCCACTAATTACTTCTTTTCGGTACAATGAATTGAATCGAATCATGACCTATCCTATTTCTAACCCAACATATAATAGGTCAAGCTGAAGACACATATTAAACTCTCAACGGTGTCATTAGATTCATTACATGATGCAACAATTAATAAATTTCAAAATTTTCATATTAAAAAAACAGAACCCTCTGATTAGTCTTGTAATGTACTCAGAAACTCAGCTACCTAATCACAGATAATGCTTACTTAACTAAAGTTCTGAACTTTATTAAAACCAAAATTATGAAAAATTCCAAACAAACTGAATTTTCATATTCCGGTCCAACGTTTTCTCATCAAGCAAACAGAAATTGGTACTAACTTACAACAGAACAAGCTACAACGAACAATCGTAATCAATAATGGGAACCCTTAAATAAAACTACAAAGAAAATGAAATAAAACGGGGAAAAGGAGGAAAACCCACCCGCCGGAAGCTGGAAGGAGCTGTTTTGCTTGGCTCTTCGGGTGTGAGCTCTCGCCGCCATAGCTGATATCTTCCTGTTCACTCCTCCCGCCATTTTCACCAGCACACGAGATCAATCGGAGATTCAATGGCCAGGGTTTAGTCAAATTGAGAGAGAGAGAGAGAGAGAGAGAGAGAGATATCGGATCGAAGAGTCGTTGACGAGGCTCAGCCTGTCACTCTGTGTGTGTTGTGAGTCGTGACAGCCTGTGTCGCGATGCGAATTGGTAATTTGCACGAAAACAAAAGTCAATTAGTGAACAAATCATTCATATTTTTTGCTGCTAATTAATCTATTAATCTTTAAGGTTTTCAAATTTAAATATCGTAAATGATGAATTCGTAATTAATTTATTATTTCACGTCTTAGTGTAAATATGTTACTGTCAAATAAAATGAAATAAACTATTGCAACTAGTAGATTATTTAGTTGTTAGTTAGTTGTTAGAGTCTTACTCTTCAAACAACTGCGTAGTAGGAGTGGGTTCGACTTCATTCAATTTGGTTTTTTGCCAAACCGAAATTGCCGTTTAGTTCATTGGATTTTCTTTGGTTCTTTTCTTTTTTTTGTTAAGTTCGGTTTAGAAAAAAATATAAAAATTAGCGGGTTGTTTGATTTTCTGCCGTCATCATATCATACAACACTTCGACTTTAGATCACTTGACCTAATCAAATTTGATTCCATTTCTACCAACAACAACAACAAAATCTTTTCTTCGAGTCTCTTCCACTACGTGGGGTCGGTTATATGAATTCTAGAACGCTATTGCACTCGGTTCTATGTCATGTCTTCCGTTAGATCCAACTATTCTATGTCTTTTCTTCAAGTCTTTTCCAAAGTCTTCCTAGGTCTTCCTTTGCCCTTTGGCCCTGGACCTCTGTCTCGTAGTCGCATCTTCTAATTGTAGGCCTTCGTTGCACATGTCCAAACCACTGTAACCAATTTTCTTTCATCTTTCCTTCAATTTCGGCTACTCCTACATTACCTCAGATATCCTCATTCATAACTTTATCATTTCCCATGTGCCCACACATCCAATGAAGCATCCTCATCTCTGCTACATCCATTTTATGTATGTGTTGATACTTCACTTTCCAACATCACAAATTCATTAGTAACTAAATTTTTTTAAGTCAGAACAAAATCATTTCAAGTACCCTCCTTCTATGAACAAAATTATCTGAACTTGACCGCCTAATGGCAAAGCAATAGTTCACTTTTTTGGTATTTCTCGTATCTCATTAACTGCAATACGGCTAAACAGAGAGAGTTATGTTCATTTTCTTCACCGCGGCTTCCTGCATCTTCAACATCCTTCTGGACCTCCAGGCACCTATGTGCGTAGCGGCATGGCAACGTGATAGTTTCCATAACCCACGTGGAGTGGCAGAATCGCACACATAGCAGTAGTAACACTACCTACAACTAACACATCAATGCGGTTCTTACCGTGAGTTTTCTTTATGTCGTCCACGTGGCATGTTGTAATTGGGTTTGTAGAACCACATATGTGGCAAACAAGGATCTTAATTGAAATTTTAACTAGATCTAATGGTGATGATTATATTGATGACTCAGACCATAGATAAAGGACTTAATTGATGAGTTTAAAAAATAAAGGATCAAACTTGTGAGTTGGTAGGAGATAAAGGATCATTTGTGAACACTCGAACCCTTACGTCCTTGTGTATCATATTTTGATATTGAGAAAATTCACTCCTATGTTGAGTTTCTATCTTCTTAACATGTAGGTTAAAAATTATTTCGTAAGGTAAATATAGCCCACCCAACTTTAAAATCCTGACTGCGTCCCATACCCCAAAGCCAAAGACAGAGATCTACAACAAAAGGTTTTTCTCAGTTTTTCTGTAACGACTAGGGTTTTTTTTATGAATCAAGTTTACAATCCAGTACACTTCCATAGAGTGAAACATATGTGTTGAACAATTTCTTTTAGCAAAGGGTGATGCGGTCTATGCATATATATTTTTATCATATGTTTCCTTTAGACCTTGTATATTTTAATGGGTTGAAGGAACTAATTTATATTGTTTTTATCTTTAGGCATTCAATCCGGAGGTATGCAAACAAGAAGTGAAAAATGGAAATTTCAGATGTCTAGAGTAATTCCAGTGGAGCACGAGACTAATTAAGTGCGCCAAGACATATGCATTACAATAAAAAGATAAGATTACAACGGTTTTGGAAATCAAATGGACATGGAATGGTATTCAATGGCTTTGAGAAGAAGACATAATTACTAGTTTTTATCATTTCCGTTTATTTCTCATTTTCTTCAATAAGGACTTAAAAGTCCATTAGAGCTAGGATTAGTGGTCATTTATTTTTATTTTTTTTTTCTACTTACTTTTGCAATTCTTGCCACGAGGTTTTAAAAGGAGATTCATTCTCCTTTGTTTTTAGTTAGGCAGCCACCAATCCACCAAACAAATAACATCATATTTTGACAAAGTGGGGCTGCGGCAAGGAAGGATAAGAGGAAGAGCTACTTTGGAGTTTTTTTTTGCTAGGGCTACGATGTAGCCTGATCATGAATGCTTGGTTGCCTTGTGGCATTGTTATTATCAAGTTTTTCTTCCTTATTGAGTATCTTTTGTTATTCGTAATACCCTTGATTTTTATTTAGATGCTTGATCACCATCTAGGTTTTAGTTGAGTTGATTTGATGCAAGTTAGAGTAGATGTCATACTTAACTTGGGTTTAGCTTCTTGTAATTGATACCATAAACACCTATTTGCAAATGCCATGCAGGGTTCGTGTGATTTTCCAACGATTTCCATAGAGCTTAATGGGTTCTCACTTGTTTAAATTCATCTAGATGTCATAGAGGGTTAACATGTAAGGATACTTTTGATGCAACCAGATCGATGCCATGGTCATTGAATTATTTAGAGAAAATCGATTATCAATATTGGGGAACTACTTGAGCATAACATATTAAGGGAATTAAGTAGAATCAGTTACAATGAATTCGGATGCCCTAGGTCTTCTTTTCTTATGTTTTCATTTTATTATTTATGTGTATTTTATTTCAAGCTTTATTCAGTTTAATTCAAAATTTCTTATCTTTTTCATTAAAACTTCTCAATTATAATTTGTTTCAATTTAATAAGAAAGTCTTTAGAATCAATTCAATTTATGTGGGACGATATTCATGTTTATATGTTATACTGTCATTTAATTCATATACTTGCGAGCACTAAAATTCGAAACTTAATGAGTTTAATTTTGGTTATCTAATTTTCGCAACAAAGGGCTTTTCAGGATCTTAAAAAACTTCACTAAAGCCTTTAGAAGTGATAAGCTCGTATCTATATATATTTTACATCAAATTCACTTGTCTTTTCTTAGTTAGTTCCTTATATTTTTGAGCTATTTACTTTGTTTTTGTGTTTTGTAGGATTTGTCAAGTAAAGAAAAGAACAATAGCACAAGTAGAATTTTAAGTAACAAATTCGTCAAAACTGCATGTACACGTCAGCTGACTTTGGAAACAAGTTGTGGACAGCTCAGAATGAATTAGAGAATGAGCCTTATATGCTTAGAAAGCTACAGATGTCTATTTTCTGGAGCATTTCGCGGATTGTTAATATCATTTTTCAAGAAGAAGTTATGACCGTTTTAACACTAAAAGGTTCCCAAGAGGCTGAGCAGTTTGTAACTGACAAAAAAGCATTGAAAGCAATAAATCCAATAAAACTAACAGCCAAAACTGATACAGCCAAGAACAAGCCAGCTAACACCTATTCAAATATAAGAGGAAATGGAAAATTAAGTGAGAGTAATGGGCATAAAGGCTGCCCAAAGAGTTACAATTGTTTTAGCATTTTCTCTCACTTATTGTCATCACTAAATGACTGTTAGTGGGGTGAGTTATGGAGAAAAAACTATGGCAGCAGAAAAGAAGAAAAGACCTACAGGTTGCAGCAGCATAGGGGGAGAAAAAGTGTGAAAAAAAGATAGAAAAAAAAGAAGGAAAGCAAGGAAAAAAGGCAAGGCTGCTGCGTTGGGGAAGGAAGGAAAGGAAGGAGGAAATCTTAGCATTCTCTTCTCTTGGTTTTATCTTCCCAAACTCATGTCTTTCTTTTGGTTTAATTTGAGAATTATGTGTAACTAATTTTTAGTAGTTAGGGGCTGTTTTGAAGCCCCGAATATGATTGCAAGTTTGTTATGACATTTCGTTTGAATTACTTTTACGAATGGATGAAAATTGGTTCACTACTTGTCTCATTAATGAATTCTTTATATGTTTTCTACGAATGCATACTTAGTAAGCATATCTAGGATTCTAATGCTATGAATATGTGTGTGTCTGCCCTTGTCGAATGAGGACCTATATATGTTCTAGAGTAGTACTTGTTAATTGCGATTAACATGTGAATCAATTTCTAGGATAAGTAAGACAACGCTAATACTTACGATGCCTTGTGATGACTCAAACTCTTTTCGTTTTTAATGATTTCTACTTGTTAAATCTATGAACACACCATTCTAGATTGCATGTTAGGGACTAAGTTAAGTTGAAAACGTCATTCTCTTAACATACTACATAAGAAAGAGTAATAGGTTGAGTTCTAACATTGAGCCAACTTGAGCATCTTCATCGAAAATGAAAGGAATTTGAATGAAACATAACATGTTTGCATGATTATTTGGTGGTGGATAGCAATTCCCCTAACTCGTTTTTCTTAATTTGTGAACTACTTAAAAATCTGTTTCTGTTATGTTTTTATTCGATTTAATTTAAATAGCAAATCAACTCCAAAAATCCCAAAAATTTGTGTGAGTGTAGCTCTGTGTGTCTAGTGTCTTCATATAAAATTTCAGTAGACTTTAGATAAGTGTAAGTCGGTCTTATAATTATTTTTCGGTGGCTGGTCAGTAGGGACAACAGCCCAGTTTTTGTGATATTTTAAGTAGTTAGATAAAACAATCTTCTGCGGGAAAGATCCTTATTTTCATATGCTACAATTGACAAATCTTAGTGTTAATAAGGAAAATCAATAGGACATTTGTGTGCTACTTTGTGTAGTGCCTTTAATCCTATCAAGAAGAAACAAAGACTACATGTCTATCTCTTTAAAACAAAGAATGCATGTAGGAAAAAAAAAGTTATTTCCTAAAAGAAATCATCATATATTCCTTTCTAGTGAATAAAAAAAAAAGGAACTTTAACGAAAAGCTATTGGTACT